AAACTTTTCTGTCATGGCCCATTTTAGTCCAAGAAGCTCGAGCTTCATGCTAGAATAATTTCTTTGGTTCTTCTCGGCTTTCCTTAGAGATCTGCTTGCGCATGCTATGATTCGCTTGGTTCCTTGTTGCATCTGATAGAGTACTGCTCCAATTCCAACATGACTGCTATCTACTTCTAGGATGTAAGGCTTTTTGAAGTCAGCAAAAGCCAGTATGGGTGCATTAATGATTTTATCTTTCAAAATGTTGAATGCACTCTGACATTTTGTGTCCCACAATTCCTTGATGGATACACTTTTGGATTTCCTTTTGCCAACTTTACCATTCCTGTTAAGGATTTCATGTAATGGACGGACAATCTTGGCGAAATCTTTCACAAATCTTCTTGAGTAGCTTGTGTGACCAAGGAATCTACGGAGATCTTTAACGGAACGGGCCAGTTCTTCAGTACTTCTATTCTTGTGTCATCTGGTCTAATCCCATCCTTTGAGATCATATGGCCTAAGTAAGTGACCTCAGTCTTGAAGAAATTGCATTTCTCCCATTTCAGCTTCAAGGAATTTTGTCTCAATATTTTGAAAACATTCTCCAGCTTGGTAATATGATCATGAACACTGCTAGAGTAACAGATGATGTCCTCTAAATATACTAGTACGCTTTTGAAAATTTCATTTTTGAAGACTGTTTGCATCAATCTTTGGTAAGTAGCAGGGCTATTTGTCAAACCAAATGCCATTCTTGGATATTCAAATAATCCAAACGGTGTCGTGAAGGCAGTCTTAGGTACATCATTCTCAGCTACCTTGACCTGGTGGTACGCATTATCTAAATCGCAGGTGGAAAATATCTTGGCATCTATGAGAGCATCCATTGATTCTTCTATACGTGGAAGTGGATAACTGTCTTTTATCGTGTTGTTGTTCAATTGTCGATAATCGACACACAGGCGAAGATTTCCATTCTTTTTTCTAACCAACACGATAGGACTTGCGAACGGACTACTGCTCGGTTGAATGATCTTCTTATCCAGTAGTTTCTGTATATGCTCTTTTACTTCTTGGCACAAATGAGGTGGTATTCTCCTATATGGCTGTTTGACATTTTTACTAGGATCGACTAAATGTATCTCATGTTCTACTGCGTCTGTGTGTCCAAAGTCTTCATCATCTTGGGCAAATACAGACTGGTTTCTGTAGAACATTTCTCTTGCGATTTCTCTCTCAGCATCCGTTCCAGGGAATTCAGCTAGTCTTTCATCCACCAGTTTTATGAACTTTTCTGAAGTATTTTCTGTTTCCTGGTGTGTAAGTTCGAAACAATTTTCTGCCTGGGAATAATGGACTGAATATGGGCTGCAAGTCTCTTTGGAGCTTTCAATTTTCCCAATTGGAGTTCGCTGGTTCAGTTTTACTCCAACCTTGGAAATGTTAGCAACTTTGACCCATTTCTCATCTTGTGTACCATCTATAACGCCAGGTGTTATTTGTACGTTGCCAGGTAATGGTTTATCTGTGGGTTCAACAATTCCTACATCACGAAAATGTCCTGTATTCACTTGTACATGAAGACATGTTCCTGGATGAATAAATACTTCTTTGTCAACTCTCACAGTCTGTGTTCTGGTTTCGGACTGTTGTTCTTCTGATTTTGGGAGTCTGTACAGATCCACATGTTGTAAAATATTACATCCAATTAGACAATCGGGCTTGGCACCATCCTGTCCATGGATAATGATTCCAACATCATTAATTAGTTGGTTTTCAATTTGTACATCTGCTACCATAAAACCATCATAAGGAATTAACAGGTTGTTTGCAGCTCTTATTCTACACCACTTGTCACGTTGTAAAGTTTTATGAGAAAAGTGTTCATTGAAAAATTCCTTGGACATCAAAGTCACAGTGCTGCCACTGTCAATTGTTACATTGACTGGAATATTGTCAATCATTATTTCTCTTGTTGGACTTTCTCCTATTAATTTGTTCATGTCTACATTCTTGATATGTGTGTTTTTATCATTACTTGTACTGGTCTTAATAGGAATTTCATGAGGATTTACATTGGTTGCATTATTCTGTACACTGTGGTCTTTTAAGCTTTCATCTCTGGTGCCACTGTCCAGAGAACTTGCTAGTTTTTTTGAACATTGGAGGAAGTATTTTCTTGGTTGCTGTTCCTCCAGTTACCAGAATTTCCATTATTCTGAGGGTAGTCTTGATAACCTTGATCTCTTTGCTGATAACGAGTTGTAACATTTCCACCTGGATATGTTCTGTTTCCATGTGATATACCTCTACCTCTCGTGTCACCATATCCTCTCTGAGCAAAGTCTCTATGGGGAAAATGCTGATTGGTATATATCCTATTCTGGTCATAGTTGTTACAAGTATCATCACGATTGTTGGACCCTCTACTATCACTAAAGTATCCTCTGTCATTGAAACCTCTTCGGCTACTGAAACCTCCTCTGTTACTGAAGCCTCCTCTGTTACTGTAGCCTCCTCTATTATTGTAGCCTCCTCTGTTACTGAAGCCTCCTCTATCACTGAAGCCTCCTCTATCACTGAAGCCTCCTCTATCATTGAAGCCTCCTCTGTGTCTGTAGCCTCCTCTGTTACTGTAGCCATTGAGATCTGTATCAAAGTATCCTGGTCCATGTTCTGGATGATTGTAACCTTGGTTCTGGGAGATGTAATTTGTCATAACATCCTTCTGAAATTCCTTTTGGATTTCCTCCTTCACTAATTCTTTCAACAAAGTACGATCGGATGTTATACTAGTAGTCGATGAGTCAGCAGTGGTACAGTTTGAAGTTTGTAGAGTCTTCTTTACTTGATCTTGTATAATATCCCTAATTGATGTATCTGTAGTAGTAGTGGACTGTCTATCATGCTTCTCCTCCATTATGAATGCCTCTTCACGTAGAGTTGTGAATGATATTGCAGGTTGTTGTTTAAGTTTATCATACAGCATTAGACGCATTACTTCTGATGAAACTCCATTGGCGAACTGAGTTTTGATAAGTCTATCTGTGTTGTCAATACACAAAAACTCGTCGTGGGAGTTCTGCAGCAGTTCTAGCTGTGTCATTAGTCTTTGACTGTAGGCTTTTATGTTCTCATCCTTGTTCTGCTTTGTGTTGAGGAATAGTTGAAGAGCAGAATGTTTAGTCTGTCTACTGCCATAAACTCTTTGAAGGGTGGTGAATATCTCATCAGGCTTTGCTATTTCACCAAGAAGCTTAGCTTCTTTCCGAGGCATTCCCTCTAAGTGTGAGAGTAGGAAATCATACTGATCTTCTTCAGGAATCTTCTTTAAGGCTCGTTTACAGTCATCTACCCAGTCATATATATTTTGTTCTTTTCCAATGAATTTGTTGATCTTTGGCTCTTTGTAGTATTGTTTCACAGGTGCAACTGGTTTGGTTGTTGGAGTGGATGTATTAAAATTTCCAACTGTTGGAAGGACATCATTGTTTTTTCTGACTCGTGATATGTCTAAGAGGGTGGCATTCGCAGATATTCCTGTTGGTTGCTTAAGTTTATCATTTGTATTTCCATATATTGTATCTCGATCCCTATTCAATAAGTTGACATAGTGTTGTTTCCTTTGTGTATGTTCTTGTTCTTTCTCTTTGATAAGGCGCTCCAGCTCGGATTTTCTGGTTTCATATTCCGCATACACGTCATCAATGGAGGCCAACAACTTCTGGTTTTCACGTTCGATATCGCCAAGACTTTCCCTGAGACGTTTGTTTTCTTTTTCCTTTAAGTGACGCTTGGTTACACCATTATTGATGTCCTCATCAGTAAATCTCAATGAGTTATTTACATGTAGTACTTCAGACATTTTATCTATAAGTTCCTCAGCTGTCCTAGACTGTTGTTCCAACTCTTCATGAGACATGTAGTGCGCCATCTTGTGTTAATACTGAGTGGATATCCAACTCAACACTATGTAAAAAATCTTATTGTCAAATACCCTTGTGATCTAATAAAGATGTGCGTTATGGTATACCACCGTGTAATCTTATATACTAGTATAACACTAGCATGTAACAAATATGTGATAATACAATGTGCGTTTTAGCACACTACCATGATATAAGATTGTGCGTTATAGCACCACGCCGTGTAGCAATAGGTACGAATATGTGACACCTTAATAACGTGCGTTGTTGCACAGCACTATGTAGTAATATATACACCTTTATGGTACCCTTATGATGTGCGTTTTTGCACAACACCGTGTGATAATATGTACACTAACAAACACTTATAGACTACCCTAATAACGTAAGTTTTTGCACAACACCGTGTTGTAATATGTACACTTATAGAATACCCTTATAATGTGCGTTTTTGCACAACACCATGTGGTAATTTGTACCCGTATATGTTATTCTCGGCCAATATTGTGTAATTATATAAGTATATATGTACCCTATCAAAAAGCTTTTGCTAGGATAATACCTTATAGATATAAACAAACACTAATATTTATTAAGGTAGTTATGTGTAGGATTGTACCCCAACAGATTTTGTAAGTTAGGATAATAATACCTGTACCCTAACAGATTTTGTAAGTTAGGATAATAATACCTTCTTTAATGACAACACAGTAGCAATATAGCAACAATAAACCCTAAACCTTAATTAAGTTTAGAAACCTGATAATTCTATGAAGACATAGTCTACTATATGTACATTGATTGTCACTTTATGTGACTGTCACTTTATGTGACGCTTGAACAGCAATTGGTTTAATAATACACTCTACACTATAGATGGCATTATGTGACTGTCACTTTATGCGACACTTGAACAGTAATTGATTTAATAATACACACTCCACTATAGATGGCATTTATTCTTCAGCCATTATCAACATAATATGCATGAGTTCTCCCAACACAATATAACTACATATGGACATCAGATTCAATTGCATAAGTTCACTTTTGTAAATACATGAACTGGAAAAAACGCTTGCTTTTAGAGCATATTTGATATTTATAGAACTACCTAAACTATCTGAATCTGAATCTATAGTGACTATCTGACTGTCACTTTATCAAGCATTAATGGCTCAATATTAACACTACTTATATTATACACATTCATTTGTTGTGGTTTTAAACCTGTATACTGGCTAGTGGTACGTTGTAGCTTGCAAGTGGTTGTAGGTTGTAGGTTGATGCTGCCGCAAACACATCTGACACCATTGTGAGCTGGGCGAATGGGGGGCACGTGGGTAACGGCAATAAAAACTACACACACAAGTTCAGTCATATGATATCTTTATTCTTTACAGTCTTAGTTGTAACATCAGGTATCACAGGATGTAAACAGGCAACAAGAAGAACAAGTAGTAGAAGTCTGCAATTATTCAAAATGATATGCATTAAAAATAGGAACCAATATTTCGTAATGTCGAGACCATAAAATACAAATATTATTATATGAATACTATTACATTTCATATGCGATTCCCTTAGACTAAACCAAACACACAGTTTCATGTACTTTACACAAATAATACAATAATATATTTTAAGAGATATGCATACCCTAATGACTAGTCTAATGGAGACTAACTGCAACCTCAATGTAAGAAAACATCCAATCTCCAGTACTAAAATTAGAAGTAACAAAAGTGCAGCAATGTACCATGTTGTCAAATGAACAAACATGAAAGAATTAATAATATTCACCAATACAACATAATAATTAGAACCATTAAAGTGTGACATAAGATTACGTGTATTCGAGCTCTGGTGAAAATATAAAATCATTTTACAAAATGGCTGCACCTTAAAATACAAAATGGCTGACACAAAAAATAATATAAACTTACAAATAGTCCTTAGGACTTTGAAGTATAGTGAGACCCTGGCTGAGTGAAGTGTACATGAGTACTTAACCGTGTGTCTGCAATTAACAGGACAGTAAAAGTAAGTTGTAAAAGTAAGCCATATAAGCATTACAAAATTGGGCGTGACCCGTATTCTAATTTACAAAACTGGTTTACAAAAGTTGTAGTCTAGGGATATGAAATATTACCTTACCAGAAAATATGATATAAAAAGAAAATGACATTCTTCTATAATGATAGTATAGGATAAACTGGTAGAAAGTACAACTTGACTGAATAAATTGGGAAAAATACAAAATTGTATTTACCTATACACAGAGGTGCTTCCAGTTGAAGCTCAGCCAGTGGACTGAGGTCAGTTTGAAAAATAGAAATCACTGCTAATGCAGGGTTATAAAACCAGCCACAAACTTACAAAATATAAGAATCAAAAATAAGGTTTACATGTAATTGTCCTATACTGAATAGAAAATCTAACCCAGTAAGTGTGGTTCTAAAAATAGCATGGTTCACTTAAATGCATACATATGTGTAAAAGTACAGGTTGTCTCATGAACCATGTAACTATCCTTGTCCATACAGGGTGTTACACCTAACCTGTCACATAATCATTGTCAATGTAATTTCAGGTTACAGCATTAACAACCCCCACAGAGAAAGAGCCCAGAGTGCACGTCCATTGTTTAGTAGTGGTCAGAAACTTTCTATACAAATCTCAAATATATCTCAACACAACGTTATGCCTCAGAGACCTAAAACTGCTGGCCAACGTCCAACAGGTGCAGGATTATCCCAAGTCTCCATATCAGGCCAGAAGATGACGCCATATAAAGAGGTTCAGCCAATCATAAAGCAGCATCTGGCTACAATGGTTAATCCACCCAACACGCCAAAAAGTGCAAGGAAATTGTCAAATATGCAAACATTACCAGATCATATGACAGTAGAAAAAGTGCAGAAATTGCAGAAAACTGTTACTATTAATGAAGATCCTGATATACGGATTTTGGACAATGAGGGTGTATCTGTCCCAGAATCCCCTTGTACAGATAAAGATATCAATGAAAATATTATCAAATTAAAATCTAACCAAATTGATGGAAAGGAAAAACACTTAGTAAAATCTGAAGAAGAACCTGTTGAAAAAGATACTGAAGCCAGTAAAGAAGAAGTGAATGCTAATAACACTGCGAATAGTAAAGAAGATGATAAAACTGATGCCAAAGTAAATGCAGAGGAGATAAATGGAAACATGGACAATGTGCAAGATAATGACAATGTGAATGATATCACAGAGATAAGTGAGAATAAAAACTCTGAGAATGACACCAACGAAAATGAAAATGATGAAATGGCTAAAGAGATTGTTAAACCAGCTGAGACTACAGAAAAGGAACCCCTCAGTATTATAAAAGATATCATGAACAGTGAACAAGATAAGACAGATGATGACAACATTGACAATGACTTGAAGGACATCCAAGAAGCTATGAAAAACATGGAAACAAACGTTACATATAAATATTTAGAAGATGACGTTATTGATGAATTACACAAAGATCCAGACAGCAATAATACTAATGGAAATGCAAATGAAAAGTCACAAAATGATTCTGCAACATTCTTCATGACTGAAGATAAGGATGATCAAAAAGATGATGTTACTCCAAGCAAGGCTGAAGATAAAGATGAGGCTGAAATCAAAAATGAGTCTCAAGGTCTCAGAGTTGCTGAAACAATAATAAGCGTAGAAATCCGGAGCAACCCTGGCTCTTAGTATTATATACAAAGATGTGTCCATAATAAGTCATGCCCTCGGGTAAATTGTCAGGGTGTTTTTCTATAAATAACACACTGTGCAGACCTGATGCAATTTAGCAATATTCAGAGTAGAACATTTTATGTATATGTGTGCCCTCAATGAGCTTTAGTTACTTGATTGTGCCTGGTCTGTGCAGCGTGAAAAATAGTCTTGTTGAATACACATAGACACACTACTGCATGGAATCAATGGAATCAACCAAGATTTGTGTTGACATTTCTCCATGAGGGTTTGACTCACTCCTTTGCTGTTATCATTGAATTATCTGTGATAAGGGAACACCTCAAAAGCTACACATTAAAATCTACACTTAATCCAACTGCTGAACTATCTACCTATCCTTGTTAAAGTAACATACTTTATTGAACTGTGAATCCCTTTTGAAGAAAAAATGTTAGAGATTAGTATTGGTACATTTTAGTTACCACCCATGAACAAAACAAAAGTGATTATGTGTAGAATTTATTGCAGAAGATTTTATGAGACAACCCCTAAAGTACATTTACGTTTAAAAACTTTTATGTTATATAGAGTACTGTATAGATATACTACACAGCATGTATTTAATGATGTTCTTGTTTTACCAAGATGAGATTTATTAAAGTATTATATCATTATTATACCAAGAAGTACTAACATGTTGTTGTTCTACACCCTGTAGCTACCACTCTTTGTGAGCTGAGTTCATCTTTTGGTGGTCTGCAGCAAACTGGTAGTGACATTTTGCATTGTTATATTATTATATTAAAGCCAAAGAGAGATTAAATTAATAGGGTATATTTATTTTAATAGTTTTAGTATCATTTTTGATATATTATAATTTGTATTTTTAAGTCAACCACAAAGTCAAAATGCGAAATGGAAGCATCGAAAACGTGGAAAGATGCAGGAATGTCTATATGATGCCAAATAAACTTGGAAATCAAAATATTGCCATGAAATTAAGTCAGAACTTTTGGCACTTTAGGGAAGGTGGGCGTAACAAGGGATGCTGTGAGAAAAAACAATTGTAAAAATAAAAAGTATCCTCAGATCTTCTTATTCCTTAATTCCACTTTTCCTAAGCAGGCTTCTCTGTGAGTTGTTAAAATATTGAGATCACTCATTGAATTCTTTTTATTCAATCTCAGAAAGCGTTGCTATAAGTTAGATAGCTAGATAATATCAGCCCATCTTGACACTTATGTTTTAGTGAGTGTTATGTAAGTGGGAGTTTAAGTGTATTATTTTAACCTCTTGACTACCCAGAATGACGAGATTTCTCGTCACTTCAGAAATGACCTTGAAACCCAGAGGGACGAGAAAATCCGTCACAAAATTGTTCACAAAAATTGCTCTTATTTGAACAATTTTCATCCAATTTATACAAAAATTGTTTTAAAAGGTGTAGAAATGATCTCTGCCATCTAATTTTACTAAGTTGAGCATCTAAAGTTGTAAAGGTATGTAGTAAAATGTCAAAAGGTGGCAAAAATGAAAAATTCTCTGGTTTCAACCAATTTTAGAGCCTGGGATTCAAGAGGTTAAATGCAGATGTTTTGTTTTATTCTCATGTGTAGAAATCTTGGATGGCAAAGAAAGTTGAGTACAGTGTACATACAATGTATGTTTTAAAAGTCTATCTCAATGTGTGTTGCTATTAAGGATATATTAACTTAAAATTTACATTTAATTGATTTACATGTATTTTTGTAAAATATGAATGTTCATATTGATGTACTAAAATTGTAAATATTGTATATATAACTGGTTGACTACAAACACTGGAATTCTGAAAGTTTTTAAAGTCAAAATGTTTCCACTTTAGGTAGGGGTGTAAAAGTGATTCAAAAATGGTTGATGCAAGCATAAGTCAAATGTGACACAATTTTAGGCAAGAAACAATATTTTGGTGATGCTACTTCCTTACCTGCCTCAAAGATTATACAAACATGCATTGTGTTTTAAACCTGGTGCAGCAATATGGTAGATTAAGGCTTCGTTTTTCCATTGTTTGTAGTCTACCTACACAAGTGAAGTGACACTTTGGCAATCAGTATTTACATTGCAATAATTCAAATCCAAACTTCCATTGTTTTGAATCAAAATTAATAACGTTTTCTTAAAACTGCTTAAGCTTTTGAAAGTAACGATATTGGGTGTATTAAAATTACAAATGAACTTATAATTGTTACAACATTGCAGTATAAACATGCACTTATGTTCAAAATATTCACTTGTTCAAATTGCACAATTTTTCCACTGTTTTTCTGATTTTGGTATTGATTTTAATTTTGTGATTTTCACAGAGAATATTCCTTACTTTTTGTATGTTTTATTTTATAGTTTCACTATGCTGTTACAGAGATATATTTAATTGAAATGAAATTATATTTATTAATTATAAAATGCCAAAAGTATTGAAGTAGAGAGAATTATATTAATATTTTGCAAGTTAGAATTTAATGTTATTTTTGAAATAGTTAAATCAGGAAATGCATTATCAGTTTAGCTTTACTTTTTAGGTTTACTTTTGTTTCTTGTTAAAAATAGATTAAAATACAAAAAGTGACAAGCAAGAAACTGATCTTATGTTACATATACAGGGTGTTCACAAAAATGAAAATACAGGGTGGTCCACATTGTGGGCTAAATAAGATCTAGAAAAGAGCACATTACATCTTTGATCGAGGGACTGACAATTCAGAATGGGCAGTCCTTGATAAAATTGTCAACAGCAGCAAATTAAAATCGTTGATTTTTAGGGAAACTATGGACATGAGTTAGCTGATACACCAGAGTGTAAAAGGACGAAGTGACACTTGTTGATCAATAGTAACATTACTGAACATACAATTGCAAACACAATACATGCAATAAGCAATTACCAATCTGATGTGATACTAATTGCCGTTGACCAATAAAATCCATTAGCCAAGTTGGGAGATGGCGTTTTTTACCAATCACTAATTAGTTCATCTTTAGCAACACTGTAATAGTCTGAGCATCAGATTAAAAAAACACAGCAAAAACATGCAATAAAATACCCATATCATTTGTTAATTTCATGAACACACGTTCTGTTATATCTTTTGTTAATAACACGTGCGAGATTAGTCCCCTATTTAAATCAATACCAATACTCGAGGCACTCAATATCACGTGGGAATTACTTTGACCAAACTCTGGTTGTAATTTGTTAATTAGTTTCACGTCAAATTGAAGTGTTAATCAAATCATTTTCAAAGGCGGGGAAATGCAACCGAATGGCTCATTTAAGTTCATACCCTGCTCAAAGTCCCTTGTACTGTTAGGATGAAGAGACTTTCATTTCAGCTTGGACCAACAATGACCATATTGTATTTTGGTCATCAATGGAATGACTCCCAGCATGATATAAGCCTTAAAGATGAGAATGACAAACCAAGTAAAGAAGTATTTCTAGATGCGGGCTTATGGATGGTGCAGACTTGCTAAAGCCTTTTCCATTAAAATGTCATGAACGAATTTCAAAAATGCTAACAATTAACAATTTAGAAATTACAATTTCAGCGCAAGTGAAGGAAATTTTGTGCAGTAAAACCTGTCCAAGTCAGGTGAAAAGAGATAACCAGCAATCATGATTCTAAGTGGGCTGGGGTATTAGCTTTATCCTAATCGAGGATTAATAATTTGTTAATTGGCATGCATAGAGCAAAAAAATCGCTATCTACGTATAATTCATGATTATTTATATGTATCTAATATGAATGAAGTTTATTATTTCACCACAATTCTCCAACTTTTTCTGGACGGCTTTCGGCGTCTGTAACAACTTTTTACAACTTCCAACTACATGCCAAATAACCATTTACAGGTGGTGACATTTTGTCATGTTAATGCCTTGTTTACACCTGCATTAATTGGCACTTGTACGAAAAAAGAAAAAAAAAACATATTTTAGGATTTGATGTTGTTTTGGTCATTTAGATCAATTGTATATATTCCATTTTAAAAAATTGATAGCATGTTTGAAAGACACAATAATTTGGAATTACATTGGAGAAACCAAGACTTGTTGCAAGTTTTAGAACATTGCAAGGGTCGAATTTAATAAATCACTAATATGCTTTAATTGTTCTCAATAACATGTGGGTAGGCCGAGGGTTATCTGTTGATATAGCGCTGATCCCACTTGTGGTGATGCATGGTGTAGTATTTGTGCCACCGCTCTTCTATTGTCTTATTAATAATCTTTACTTTTATTGCTCATATTATTTACTAAGCCTAATAGGCTTTCGAGAAGTCATACAGAAATTGAAACCGATTTAATAGTCTGTGAAATTTGATATCACGTGTCGCTTTCCCGAAATTGTGATCCATGTTCCCAGTCTAGGGTTGTCATGGTCTTTATCTTTGTGTTTGAAGATATATGGAAGAACGGATGAAAAAGAAATTATATAATTTATCAAAAATATAAGCAGGTTATACATATGTTTTTTTTGTTTGTTTTTTGTTTAACTAGGTAATTTTGAAATGTTAATATGGATTTAATTATGACAAGGTTAATGATTCCCTAATTTGCATTCGTTTGACTCAGTTTCTTCAAATATAGCTTCAGGGGCGTAGCCAGCTTTCAGTCAGGGGGGTGCGATCGCCAATTTTTTCGGTTTTATAGTCATGGGGGTACGAATTGATGCAATTCCTTCAAAATTGAGCTAGAAGCTTTAAATAAAAAGCATTTTAAAGCTCTCTTCGTCTTCTTTCTCATGGTTTTATTTTTATTGGTTATGCGATCCCACCCCCTCACCCCCCCCCCCCCTGTCTACGCCTATGAGCTTCATCTACTAACATCTGCACTTAGACCAGGTTTATGTTGTTCTTTGCTTTCAAATGCGGATTCTTTTGTTTCATTTGTTTAACTCCTTCTTCATCCTTGGTTCCAACATAATATACGTAGATGATTCATTCTGAACTATTATAACAAAACATATCTCAAATGATGAAACTCATTAATAGAGTTTGAATATAAAGCATAGCTTCATCTCAAAACTTGGACTCGTAAATTATTGACCGAAACAAAGTAAAATTGGTCGGCAATAAGAGCAAAAAACTGAAAATTTTACGTTGATGAATTCTGGGTTTCTGACAAGCAAATGATGATAATTAGGGAAATTGTAGAATTAACGTCATTCTCGGTGATTACGGTAATTAAAGTGTAAATTATCAGATGATTGTTCAATTTATTTAGGAAATCTTAATTCGTACACAGGAAAATGAATCCTATTAAAATCTACAATTATTTCTGTTAATTTGACAGCCACCATATTGGAAAAAACCGATCTGCATCCCCTTGCAAGGTTTGTAGTCGCAATATCTCCCCTTGTTGGCTGAAGTGAAGCAAATGATTAATGAATGCACTCGGAAACAATTAAAACATAATATTGATGCATACATTTGGCAAGAGCTGCCAAATTCAATCCCAATTTTTTCTCTTTTGGAAAACACATGGAAATACAAGAAGTCGTGCATGGTTAGATTTCGTATTTGAACCAAAGTGCAACAGCGAGTTTAGTTTAATTTCTCAAAACCATTTTGGCAGGATTCAGGCACGCGCCAGATAATTATAACCATGTAGACACTCAAAAATGCAAATAATGTATTTAAACATTTCGTTGCTTCGAGTAAACTACTAAATCAAACAAGAAAAATTAGCAAAGTCTGAATTCATTGCACGGTGCTAATTTGACCGGGTCATCTGCAAATTGCTTATTTTGCTGCATAAAACTCCGGTTCACACTTTAAATACTAATGACCCACCCTTTGAATATCCGTGCACTTTTTGCAATTATTTGTAAAGATGATGTCACGGTCGACGCTATGGTCATATGCACTTGTATATGTCACATTTCGCTTGATGCCACCAAATGTGCTGACCCCGGTGCTGACACCCAATACTAATTAGATGACATTTATACAAAAATATAGACTCTTGCTCATAACTTTGTCAAATGTATTGCGAAAAAATAGTATATTGTTTAAACATAGATGTTCCTATGGTCATGCGCTTTATCGCTTTACTACGAAGTCTTGATTTAATTAAATTTTTTGTGGTTTTGTTTCAAAATACACAAAATATACTTGTGACACGGTGAATGTGAAACGCGAACTTTTGCATCGCCCCTATGTTGAGAATTACACTACCCTCATGGTGGTGAACTGAACAACTTTAACTGCCAATTCAAATATTATTAATTGTATCATTATATAAATTAAGTGATATCAATTTCCCTTAAATAATAGAAAATTGGGAATGATTATTAATAGAAAGTTAAAGCAATCGGGAATGAACAACTCCTAAGCCTCACACAGTTTTGGGAACAGAGCGACGTAAACGTTAATTTAAATATCTCCAGAAGAGTCAAACCACTAGTTCTTAAATTAAATTAGTATTAAAATTAAAAGTTTAATAAAAATTAATAGTGTCGCCAGAAAGTATGGACGTAGCGTCGTATAGGAAAGAATTCACAGTGGAGCAACTTATAAAGGCAAATATAATGAAACAGAAAAATCAGCAAACACCTATAAAAGATATGGAAGACAGAATAACAAAAGTTGAAAATGAAAAAGATAATGGTAAGACGAACAATTTCTATTTAATTGATTTATACAATTTCTTTCTTATTTATCACAGACAGATTTGGGTATTGTGTTACGCGGTATATGGCATACATTCATGGTTGCGCGGTATTTGTGATACGGGTGAATATGCCATACTCACCCGCGGTATATGGCATATTCCGCAGGTGAGTATGCGATATTCCGCAGTGAATATGCGATACATTGATTTCAGTGAATACCCGATACTCACCTGCGGAATATGTCATACTCACTTGCGGAATATGCCATATACCGCAGGTGAATATGACATATACCGCAGGTGAAAACGTGATGCAGAAAGCCTTGATTTGATTGGTTGCGAGAATCGAGTCTAAATGTAAAACTACGCTGGATTACCAATATAGTTAGTGCGTCGAGTACTAATTTATGAATCCTGGATTGATTGAGTAAGTTTATTAGGTGAGATTGCTGACTAATACTTCTGCTAAGTTAATATATTCGATATACAGTACTGTTGATTCAGTAATCATTGTAAATCTTTTATAACGTTTTACTTGTTCGTTCAATCGATGCAATTGACAATTGCGTACTTCCGTTTCACGTTCTCATTGGTTAGTGTGTATGCCATATACCGCAGGTGAATCTGTCATACACCGCAAGTGAATATGCCATATTCGTTGCGGGATATGACATATTTTTGTATCGTGTTTACCGCGTAACATATTGTGTAGTTTCTTACGCTCCATTTTACAAAATTAGATATCTTCATCTATTTTACCCTGTATGAAATGAGCAGAGGGAAACCATATGGATACAGTAAAGGAGGAGAAAGGCCGTATCCAGATGGTTTCCCCCTCTCATGATCACTTTGTACAGTTCGGACGAATAACAGTGCATGGCCGCAGGGACTGTATGCGGGACTGTATGTTACAGTCATGTGTTGATAAATGAGAAGTTTTCATTCGTTAACATGCAGAATGTCATTCGTACAAATGCACATTGATACGACAAAGTGACATTTTTCGTGACACATTGAGATAGCCTATGTAGCTCATTGAGATATCCTCGAAATGTGGTTGAAGCTCTCAAACTTCTTAAGAGATTAACATCAGAAGATCTAGAAAGAAAGCGGACCATGCATAAACAAATAAAATATAATTCCTTTAATTATTGTTTCAGCTGCAGATAATCAGGCACAAACAAAAGATTCCGCATCGGAGAAGAACAATTTGACAGAGTGCAGAAAGGCTAAGAAATCTAGATACAGGTGAGGTACATACATAAGGGTTATGTACTGGGAGGAGATATAGGGTATATCCCTCGGGATATATTTTTATCTCCCCTCGGGACCAAAGGGACCAAGGGAAGATATAAATATTTCCCGAGGGATATACCCTATATCCAAAACCGACCATACATAACTGTTGTATCCCTTACTTGAGTGGGTTTGGGGTAGAGTATAGTAAAAGCACAATTTATATTTAACATTTTCGAAATATTCGTTTAGTTGACAATGAAATTGTAACATTTAAACTAAAACAAATTAAACTTTTAAAATTTCAAACTTAAAACTTTTAAAATGTTTTGATTTTTAAACTTTTGAAAAATTCCCGGGAGCGGGATGGATATATTATATCTGCCGCATTTGGCCTGGAGCGGGACATATACAAGTACACTATATCTACCCCAAACCCACTCAAGTATGGTATACGTCCCCAATCCGCAAAATCGTCCTGCAGCAGCGCTGTACACAGTACTGAACAGTGCAGTTCGAGCACAGCATCACCAGTTTTGAACAGCGTAATATAGCACTGGTATTACAGCGCTGTCCAGCACTGTTTCATAAACAGCACTGTTTGATGCTGTTTGAGATTGGCAGTGTTGGAAGGCACAAGTTAAGATAGATCCGCGTGTTAATACTTTCATGTTATATTTCATTAATGGTCGAGGTGATATTTTTCAAAATTTAATGTGTATGATTTACACGTTTTTCAAAATGAAATGTGTTTGATAAAATTGTTGGAATACCAGATGGGCCTTAAACGGATTTGATTAATTTCAGGACGACGTTCACTGCGTTCCAACTACAAGAAATGGAGCGAGCATTCGAGAAGGCCCCATACCCAGATGTCTTTGCGAGAGAGGAGCTGGCTATGAGGATAGGGCTCAGCGAAGCACGAGTCCAGGTACATATACGAGGGGGGATTCATAAGTATAACTATCATGTCTTGTTCTAGGATCAAATCAATCGTGAACAGTTGGGCGATTTGTAATATCGTACGACGTGTCTTGCTCTAGTGATCAAATTGATCATGAATAGATTATGGCGATTTGAAGTATCGTATGACGTGTCTTGCTTTAGTGATCAAAATATTCACGAATAGATGGTCGATTTGTAGTATCGTACGACGTGTCTTGCTCTAGTGATCAAATCATTCATGAATAGATGGGCGATTTGAAGTATCGTACGACGTGTCTTGCTCTAGTGATCAAATCATTCATGAATAGATGGGCGATTTGAAGTATCGTACGACGTGTCTTGCTCTAGTGATCAAATCATTCATGAATAGATGGGCGATTTGAAGTATCGTACGACGTGTCTTGCTCTAGTGATCAAATCATTCATGAATAGATGTGCGATTTGAAGTATCGTACGACGTGTTTTGTTCTAATGATCAAATTAATCATGAATAGATGGGCGGTTTGAAGTATCGTACGACGTGTCTTGCTCTAGTGATCAAAATATTCATGAATAGATGGGCGATTTGTAGTATAGTACGACGTGTCTTACTCTGGTGATCAAATCATTCATGAGTAGATGGGTGATTTTTAGTACCGTACGTCGTGTCTTGCCCTTACTATACTAGTGAGCATGTTCACTAAGTAGTGAGACATAATGGCTTCCATTTCACCATGATATATGAATCAATCAAGTTAAGCGATTTTTTCTCAATATATAAAAGTATGAGAGTCTGAACATTTATTTTGTCTTTTGAAGGTATGGTTCCAGAACAGAAGGGCAAAGTGGAGGAAGAGAGAAAGTCCGAGAAAACCAATGAATTATCAGTCAAGTAAGAATGTTATCATTTTCATGTACACTTTGTCATTTGTGTAACAAGTAATTACAAAATAACTTAAATGCCCAGTGTGAATACTGCAATGTAAATTTGAATAAGGCAATGAATGTAATGTGATTAGAACAAGATCAATTATCAAATATGAATAGGACATTTATCATAGTGAATAGAACAATATTATATGAGAATATGGCAATGTAAATGTGAACAGGGCAATATCAAATATGAAAAGGGCAATGTAAATGTTAACAAAATGGGAATGGGGCAATGTTGATATGAATAGGGAAATGTAAATGTAGGGCAAGGTTAATGTGATTAGGACAATACCAAATATGAAAAAGGCAATGTTGATAGGCCAATACAAAATTTGATTAGGGCAAAACCAAATGTAAATATCAAAGAAATTCTGATTTGAGGGAATGATGAGCAATTGTGTGATCTGCCAGGGCTGCTATCTAACATTATTGTGCATTGCTGCTATCTAACATTATTATGAATTCATATGTACAGCTACATGATATTATTCTCCAGGTCCCTATTCTCCATTTTCCCAGTCTCAATACCTGAACACAGCGCTCTCTGGTATTAACTACAACCCTCTAGAGAAGTTCTCACTAATGACGTCACAGTATGACTCAACACCAGGTGTCGCTAGTGCCTTCCAGCCACGATTCTCACCATATATGCAGTTCACTGGTTACCCTATGACAGCTCCTTTCAGTCCAGGGCCTTACCCAATCTCAACCACAACAAACATACAAGATCACATGATGCAGAACTTACAAGACCGAAATTCCAATTGCCAAATTTCCCAGAATGCAACACTAACTGATGATGTCACAATAGACAATAAAAAATTGAATCGTCCAATATGAACCAACACAACCATAATATCTGTCAGTAAGGGCATAACCCCAATATGAAAATTCTGGCCAGTAAGGAAAGGAATATGCAATGGTCACCTCAAGACTATACCTATAAACTGTCATCAACTGATAATTAAGAAATCATTAAGTTGACTTGATAGTTTCAAGACTGACACTGTAGTGTTGGGACATAAAAATGACCCTCTCACTAGTACTTCAAGGGCCACTAAATTTCCCATGATAGTATAATGTATATTATATATTCTATGAAATAAAAGATTTACAAATACCATTTACAATATTTTGATTTCACTTCTTAAAGTGCAAGCAATGAAAAGAGAGCGACATAAATAGACTTCAAGGACACCCTGTATATTGTTGAACAAGATCCAATACATCATTATCACCTTTAGAGTAAGAGGAGGGAAAACCCCATGATTAAATTGATGACATACGATTTCCTCCTTCGCGCACCTCCTTTCCCGGAGGTACTTACCCTCCATCTTGGTTTTCAAAGTTTTCAAATTGACCTAGTTTTAAACCAATCAACGATCGACTCGCTAAACCAATCAGCGACGATGTCATCTCAATGCAGATTTACATTATAGGCGTATGTCATCTTTGAACCCTGGGGTTTCTCCCCCTCTTTTTAGAGTTATAATGAAATCATATGTAAATATTATCAAGTCACTATATCGTGCCATTAAAAAGTTAAAAAGAAATGGTACATTTTAGGGTGTGTACTCTGGCGTTTCCAATAGCTTTTATTCCTAATGTTATTGTACCCACAAATGATAAACCCATTGCATGATGTACGCAATTTTCTTTTGTATAACGAAACACATGAATTTAAAAATAATTTGTGACATGTGTTTTTATGAAAAATAGCATGCTCCACAAATCAAACAAATTCAATGACAACCCATGATATAAAGAAATTAGAAGGTTCAACAAGTTGAAGTTAAATACACCATTTTTTAATATAATGTTGGGATTGTAAGAAAAACATTGACATGATTTAAAGGGTTACAATATAAACTTTCCGTATTAAAACAATATGGCGGCTCCAGGTGAGTCTTATGAATCAGTCTATTTTTAAAAAACTAGGGGTGTTTTGTAAATTCCAGTTAATTAGTATAATTCAATGTCTTGAAGATAAAATAATCGTTTTACAATGATTCTATGAACATCGTGAGAATGAATTATCCAAAGGATGCATCTGCATCAGCCAATATAAATCCTTGTACAACCAAACTGTCTTGTTTCATTTACAGGATCATTTCATAAGACTATGTGCTAATATGAGATGAGGAAATCGAGATGTCAATTTTTCCTATTGAACACAAATAGAAGATCTTGAAACTTCACCCATACTGGTACAATGTGAAATTGATTTGTCAAAATAAAAATCTCCCTTTTATAATGATTGTATGACAATCTTTGCTATACTATTCCTACATAAACAGGTAGAGGTGTTTAAGCAGTGACTTCAACTTCAACAAATAAAAAAAAAAATAAAAATAAAAAAAAAAAATAAATAAATAAAAAAAAAATAAAATAAAAAAAAAAACCTGTGAACCTTTGAGTAATATTCCGGGATCGAGCCTTTTATACTAAACTGCGAGCAACACCAAAAACGAGCGTTCGCTTTGCTGAATGATATGTGTTACCCTATAACATTGCCATGCTTTAACATTGGTATGATTTAACATTGGCATGATTTAACCCTTCTTATTCCTTTCATCCATATCATTTGAAATAAAAGAAAAAGTCCTTGTATATTTTAGCTGCTCTGTTAACAGAGTGTGTATTATTAATCAATTGACTCTTACATTCATATAATACATATGGTTGTCAGATAGTAGCTCTGACATAGTAATAATAATTAAAATAACATAAAGTCAATGTTGAAATTTAGCCCTGTTTAAAATGGTCAGTGGCATTGAAAATGACATTATTTTATTTGACATTTTCAGGGCTGATTTTTTGTGATATCAATTTGCATGTTTGGTTGTTGAATTCAAATTCATTTATAAATCAAAATCATTTCATTTTTTCATTCCTTGGTTCATACATGTGATAAAGACCATATCATCACTTAATATGACCAAACTAGATCAAAAAGTTGGGAAAATTCACTTCCAGAAGAGTACTTAATTAGCCACAAATCCAGTGTGAGATGGATCAATTCTTGAGTTGGTATTTGATCATTATTGTATACATATTTACAATACTGTTAAATCTGGCACAATCTTCTCTCCAGTGTTTATCACAACATCTAGCATATCAAAACAAATATTTCATTCTATATTTGTTTCCATTTTTTAAGGGAGACAGGTATTTCTCAAATGGAATGAAATATTTGTTTTATTACTCACTGTTTTCTTACTCATTCTGTAACAAGGAAGATGAGATTAAAAAAGAAGGTAGGCCAGGAAATATTTGTTCCCCAGAGGAGGCTCGGGTAGACGCATATTAAAGGGCCTCATCCCGGATGAGGGCTATTAAAAATAGAGTGTAGAAATTCTCTTCACTTCAAAAGGAGGCTGACTTATCAACCAATGAACATCAAGCATCAGGGGAAATACCAAAGGATATTTCATGTCATGTGAAATATTTTTAACCAATCACAGAATGAGAAACATGACAGTGAGGTAATAGTACATAATTAACATACTAATAATATAATAAACAGTGAAGAGATATTGTGATTAAATCTTTAAATCCTGATTGTGCATTACATACCTAATAATTGAAAATATTGCATACATACTATCTATGCCAAAATGAAATACTTTATTTATTTTACACTTTCCTGGTAGAAAAAAAGTTTGAGAAAACTTTCATTCTTGACTCTTCCAGAAATCCATGATTAACCCCCTGTGGCCTGTGCATAAACCTGGTTCCTCTAGATACTCTAGAACTAATGCACTTGGGCACATGGGGTTAATGTTACTAGCGAAACACAGCAACATGGGCTATGGTTTTAGCATGTTATTGATGAAGCAGGCATTAGTCAGGGTCAAGGTCATCAATATGCAGGTCAAGGTCATCAATGTGTGGGGCTATTTAAGAGAAGCTAGATACTGGTGCAGATACTGAGACAGATTTAATGAGCTAAAAATATGCCGACTGATTTAAAAATCAGACTTTTCATTAAGTTAGAAAATATTTTTGATTCAGCTGGTGCATGAATTCAAATTGATGGCCCCATTTAATGAGACCTGATCAACTACAATATCTCCCATTTTGAAATAATATGTAATTGATCTAATCAACAGAGGCAACCCCTATATAACAAGAATAAACGAGAGGCATTAACATGCAAAATGTCACCACCATTTGTTACAGATGCCAACTGCCGATTGTTAACTGCCAATCGCCATCTGCCGTCACAAAAAAATGGAGACCATAACAATATTTCACCACTTTTTGGTGGTGGAAAAACAGTAATTTGACAAAGGACTCAGATTGGGTTAAAAATATAACTATGGCATTTTGGTAGGGACACACATGATCATTAGCCATATACATGACTTTCAACTTGTCTGTGTAACATGCCTAGCAATTGGTACAATTTTAGCATAACCAGACCTTTGACCTAATACGATATGGTTTTAAAGATGTATGCACAATACACTAAAAAATTGTGCCATATATCAGACAATGAGGTTAATATTTGAACTGCATTTTCAGAATTCCATGTTTTAGTTAAATAAACTTATACACAAAGATTAAAGAAGAGCAATTATAAAACCTTATGGGTTTATATAATAAGATGATCAACAAAACACTGGTCTTGCTTTTATCTCCAATAAGGGACTTCCAGAAAAGCTTTCTAAAAATCCAAGGTTCAATAAGTGCCTTCTGGAAATTCAGTTTGGGCCTTCTAGAAAACCTCTCTAGAAAATCTATGGTTCAGTATAGGCCTTTCAGAAAATCTTTATAAATAATCCATGGTTCAGTAATCTGGACAACATCTCCAGATAATCCATGTATTTAATAAGGGACTTCTAGAAAACCTCTCTAGAAAATCCATGGTTCAGTAAGTGCATTCTGAAAAGCTCTCTAGAAAATCAATGGTTAAGTTTGGGCCTTCTAGAAAAGATCTCTAGAAAATCCATGGTTCAGTACGGACCTTTAGAAAACAGCTCAAGATAACCCATGTATTTAATAAGGCCCTTCTAAAAAGCCTCTAGAGAATCTATGGTTCAGTAAGGTGCTTCTCGAAAAGAACTCTTGTAAGTCCAAAATCATATGGAAATGCCCTGCTTCTTAATCTTCAACATATTGATGTGTCCATCCACTTGAAGTGTCCTATTTTGAGGTGTCCTACATACCCATGTTTTATACATACACTCTGGGGTGACATATTTTCTATTGAGGTATTCTCAGATTATTTCATATTGATGTGTCTCTCATTTTCATTAATACTACTCCTTGTTTGGTGACTTCATTTGGGACATTCACAATGGACTGATCCACTCATGCTTAACCTTCCTTCTTTACGGTGGGCTACTCCATCCTCTCACCCCTACCTGAATGTGTTCACTCAAACATAATGCTACACGGGAGAGTACACTATCACTATAGAGGGGTGAGTGAGTAGATAATAAAATTGCCTATATTTTATTGAACCTTTTCATCCATCAAGCGGCTGTCCTAAATACACCATTGAAACTTCAGTGTTCCCATATACAGCTGATACTGAAGGGTAAAGTGCAGTGTCATTTGGTAAACCACGAAAAGCAACTCCTGAAAAAGAAATTAAAAATACCTAACATTTGTCAAAATAAACTAGAAGCTTTTGAATGACATTTGAAATACCATACAGATATACAATGACAGTTCTTCATTATTTTATTTATCCTTTTATCTATTCATATTTACTTCTCAAATGCAATTAACAACAATGCATTAACACAACAAAATGTCACCACATAGTTGCTATTATTAGTTCAAAGTCAGATTTGAATTTCTGAGAACTCTGAGATGTGATAAGGATTATGCCAAAATGTTGCATTGTTATGGTTGAACCTCTCAATTCTCTCTCCCTAGAAAATCAACATGTTGACACCATCCCTCACTTAAAAAGTAGTCTTTATAGAGCAAACAAATGTATATTTTTTTGTATTGGTATTAAAAGTTTCATACCTAAACATTCATAATTTTTTTCAAACGCTAATGTGTTGTCTTCACAGTCAAGTATGATTCGTATTCTCTCTCCAACCTGTAAAACAGAGCATAATATTCATTTTATTATTAAATGATGCATATTTCAGTTCAATCTAACATAAGACAGATCATAATGGGATTCTACAGTTGCATAGAACCAACTGGTTCAATCGACCATATTAAAGAGCATACTGGTTCAATCAACCATAAAATAAAGCAAACTGGTTCAAGCTACCATAAAACAGAACATAATTGCTCAAACGACCATAAAACAGAGCATAATGCATCAATCTTATTCTACCATAAAACAGAGCATAGAGATTCAATCTATCATCTAGCATACTGCTTCATATACCATAAAACTGAGCATAATGGTCAATCTACCATAAAACTGAGCATAATGGTTCAATCTTCCATAAAAGAGAGCAAAATGGTTTAATCTACCATCTAGCATAATGCTATAATATACAATAAAACTGAGCATAATGCTTCAAGGTACCATAAAACTGAGCATAACAGTCAATCTACCATAAAACAGAGCATAATGGTTCAATCTACCATCTAGCATAATGCTATAATATACATTCAAACATGACCGTGCTCTATTCGAATTTCTCAACCAATCAGAATGCAGCATAGCCAATATAGAACGTTCTCTAATTCTCCATAGATGCACGACCATGCTCTATTCAATCTGCAATTTGCATTGTTTTGAGTGACGTCACATCTCAGCTGCACATCTGGGGCTCTGTCCGGGGATAGCTGTTCTTTTTTACTCCCTCCTCCCTCTATATTTATTTTTATTTTATCAACACCCCATGTTTGCATACACCGTATAAAATCTAAAACGGGGAGTAAAATAGAACAGCCCAAACAAATTCTAAAATTCTTCCGGCCGACTTCAGAATCTTGACAGCATGCGTATTCTTCCTTCATGCCCATTCCACAGACACGGCTTTTACTAATTTTTATGTTTGAATCGGAATAAATAATGATAGGCCATTCAATATGGTGAAATTCAGCACTCGTTGGACAGAATGTTAGTACAAATGCACTCACCTCCGGTTCGTGCTTTGTACAACATTCTGTCCAACTCGTGCTGAATTTCACCATATTGAATGGCCTATCATTATTTATTCCTTAATTATTACCACCTTGCTGGGCCAGTTCTAGGGGTTTTAGTGCTAGTTTAGAAGGCATTCATTTTACTATATCGACCTGGGAAATGTGTGACGTCATAGTGGTGGTCCATATGGACCGGTCTAGAATATATTCTGGACCGGCAAATTTTCCCCGGGAAATTAGATATCGTTCAGTGCGTAAGATTTTCTTGCTATTTCAGCCCTGGTCGTTAACGGTGGTAATAATACTAATAACGTCATTTCTGCGAGCAATATAGTGAAATATTGGACCTTGGGCCTTCGGCCAATTATTTGGCAAGTTGAACTCGAGTTGGATTTTTCAGGTGAGTTACACCTCTAGTTTCTACAATGTTGGAGAATGAACTTTGCATTGCACCACTTAAATGATCTACCTCGATACATTCCTTAGTATCTAAGAATTCTTTAGTTGAATCGCCAATTGCATGGGTTTATCAGCAGAACGAAGAGATTTTCATTTTTGATAGCAATAGGTGGCATGTAACATTTAACTTATTTCAACCGGCAAATTCCTCCATCTAGTAGTACATCCAATCCCGGCATGCACCAGTCATAAGGGGAATATCCCTTCGACCAGCTTCCGCCATCTTGAAAAGTGCTTAATATTTCCGATTCAAAAACGAAAATCTCTTCGTTCTGCCGATTAACCCATATAATTGGCGGTTCAACTACATAAAATTTTTAAAAGGATTCTAAAATACTCATGAATGTGTCGAGGTATGTCATTTAAGTTTATCCCGTTCCAGGACTTATGATAAGTCCTGGAACGGGATAAATTTAAGTATGCAATGCTTAGTATTTTCTCCAACTTTGTAAAAACATTGACTGACCAATGATTCGCATGTACGACCACAAATGTAGTGGGGGTCGTAGGATGCGATAAAACTGTAGTTATTTGTTTGCTTATTTTTTAAATTCAAAGTACTTCCAAACATTTAAAAATTTACTGTAAGTGTGTGTTTATTGATTTGATTTGAAAACTTAGCTACCTGATATTTTGGCGCATTATTGACCTGTGGATAATTTCCCTGACTATCGCCATTGTGTAGTAAATGGTTATCGACCAAATTCCAACCCCAACTTTGGTCATCAGAACCTATCAACGCAGTATAACCATGGCACTGAGTTGGTGCTTGTTTTGTTGCAATTCCTATTACTGCAACTGTTCCAAGGGGTCCTTCCCACCAAATCTCCCAACAGTGACGTCCTGCTTTGAATCCAATTTTACCTCTTGTTGCGTCTGAACTTTGTGCAACAGGGTTCCGATGTACTGTAAATCCATTTCCCTTTACAAACATATTTCGTGAACAGTCATTTGGATTCCAAGCATGATAAAATGCTCTCAACTTTGCTTTGTAAGTTGGCACATTTGCCAAAAGGTCCGATTTTAGTGCCTCTTCCGCTAATTTCCGCACACAGTGCAGACGCCAAACGTCATTGTTTTCATCATTTAAAAATTTGTACCAACTCTTACATACTAATGAACAACTCCTAAGGTCCTCGATTCCTAAATAAGAGAACAAATTCTCTAAAACTGACACCGGGAATTTTGCAGCCATATTTCCGCCTGTCAAAACGAGGCTTTGTAATGTCAAACTTTTAAATGCCAGAAATACAAAATAATGCTATTTCAGTTTAATTTTTCAATCTAACATAATTCAATATATTTTTCTTTTCAAATTAGGTAAATATGCAAATTATTTGGTACGCAATTTGTTCGTACAACCGAATATAATTTATTGTTTTCGCTAATTTCTATACCTTATCTATTTTGTTATTTAGAATATACACTTTTGCTAAAATGTAACGAAGCTTTTGATTGGTTTATCAAGTCTTGTAGAAAATAATGCTCGAATAGAAATACTGAAATCGCAATTTCGATGGTGTTTCATGGTTTTGAACTATATACAAGTGTTATGAATGGTTAAGGCGATGCCCATAGCATTGCGGTTGTGTGCATCGAACGGAAGAATGCAAATAATGATGGCTTTACTCGGAGTTCTGGTGATAATTTTAGGTAAGGAATGACTAAAAATTATTTGTGTCGAGATAGGTAGCCTAGACTAAACATGTAAAAATTGTTGAACATCTCAGATTTACCATATTCTATGGCCAACGAGAATGTGATATACATTATTTTTATAGTGAAATAAAATTTCTCCGATTTCCATCATTTTCCTGTAGACTAGGCCGTCATCTATATGTAAGCTCAGAAGCAATATGTTGTCATCTCCGTCGCTTAGAATTCATTTCAGACTCTCTAGCAAAATTGGCTATCAAAATGCTAAAGAGCCTTAAAATGTAAGGACAAGTTGTGTCCATATTTGGCCTTTGGGAAGTACTATTATTTTTTCGAGCTCTAAAAAAGGCTAAGGTCACTTTATGTTGTTGTTTTATTGAGTATATTCTAAATAATTCTGCTATCTGTATGAATGTTACGAAGTGAAATGTTTCTCTCCCAAGAACCCAGTTCGACATTCACTTTGGCACAGGCTTGAATGAGGTATGAAAAAATAGATCTATAAAGCTAGGGCCGAAAACCATCAGCTTTTGAAAAAGAAAGGCAGTGAAATTATTGAGTAATAGCATACATGTATATTGCATTTGATTCAATAATTTTTGAATGTACCACTGAGCTGATATCCGACTAGAGCAAAAATCAAAGTTGAAAACAAAAATCGATTATCAAACTTTTTCAGGGCAAGGAAGTGATTATTTGAGTTGCCAATTATTGTATCACTAATAAAAAAATTCTGAAGGACTTATGGCATTGGTGAGGAGTGGTGTATGATGTATTTTTAAATAATCATTCATATACTTTAGTCTCTGGTCTGGCAATGTTATGTTAATCTGTATGAAGCACATGTAACATGTTGACCATTTTATTCAAGTCTAATCAATAATCTGATCTCTACATACTCATAGACTAGACATACTGATATTTCTCAAATGAATAGATTCATCAAATAATTGTTAGTTGTTAGCGTGACCTTTCTCTAATTCTTCGCTTTCAGATGACACTTGATTTGATTTGATTTGAGTGAAATTCTTAATTTAGTCACTTTGAATGCAAGTAGATGTATTGATTGATTAAAATTATTAAATGGGAGTTTATTTTTTCTGTGTAAATATTAAGCATTTATATGCCTTAAATAGTTTAAAATGCAAGAGTAATTAAATAATTATAGATATTTTGTTTATTTAACCTTGTGCCTTATGATTTGAAGTGTATATTTTTTTATTAGTGAAAGGTATTTTTAGTTTTGAATATATTGTAAAAAAAAAACATTTGTAAATTTAAGCATATGATTGGACCATTCCCTTGCAATCTCCCCCAGGACTTTAATACATTAATGTCTGAAACAGAACAGTTCAAAATAACTTTTACAATTGCAATTTTTTGTTAAATGTCAGTTGATTGACAGTTCACTCAGCAGTTTATCTACGTCCCAGATCAGTTATAGTCATGTTGCTGCTTATCAGGAACATCATCATGGTATACATACTAGTATACAAAAATTGGAAATTGAAGTTGCATGCTTCAATACCTATTCAAACATGACCATGCTCTATTTGAATTTCTAAACCAATCAGAATGCAGAATATCTGTTTCCAGGAATCTATGTACATATATTGTGTTGTATTGTGACGTCACACCTGGGAATGGCAAAAATAACAGCAAGTTTGGTTATTTCATTGACCTCAATTCCCAATTTTCTGAACAAGGTTTTCTTTTTTATTTATGTTTGAATTGGAATAAATAATGATAGGTCATTCAATATGGTGAATTCTACACTCAATGGACAGAATATCAGTACAAATGCACTCACCTTCGGTTCGTGCTTTGTACAACATTCTGTCCAACTTGTGCTTGAATTTAACCATATTGAATGGCCTATTTTATTTGCTGATTACATGTATTTATAGTTTTTCTTGAAAAAAGTAGCTCATATTTTTATAGCATTGTAATCTTGAGAATGAAGAAGCATGTGAACTAGAAAATATGCTAAAGCTTTTCAAATGTCAAGTACCTCAATTATATTTCTGAAAGAACTTTTAGGTGTGGTTTGATACATTTTCAGAAAACATCCCTTAAAATATACAGTATACATTGATCAACTACTGGTAACCATGTGAACAAAAATCACAGTGACATCAAGGATTTTACTTAATATTCTTTCTTAAACACGTGCAAAACCTGTTTCGTATACCTTTTCCTATGCATCTATCAATTCATATTATCAGGCTTATAGAAATTGCACATATAGGTATACAAAATATTTGTGATATTTTTAAACTGACAATTAATGAATAAAACAAAACAGTCAATGTTGACATTGATATTTACTCAGTAGATGTTTCCAACTAAGTTTAACATAGGCGTAGCAAACAATTGAAATGTGTTTATTATTATTAGAAATATAGATGTTAACTTCAACATGTTTTTTAGAGAATGTAATCTATTTTTTAAACATAGGAAACAACAAAATGTCCAGAAGTCAATGTGCCATGCTTTAATGTAGCATGGTTGATTTCATACTGAACAAGTTACAATAAGACAAGTGCCACTGAAAAAAGTAATACACAAGTTGATGTTTTTGATATACCGGTATATATTTTTTGGGCTCAAACAGTGAGCCTATGGGATCGACCAGGCGTCCGTCCGCGCAGTCTCAAGTCTGGACCCTGAAGAAAGATAACTAAAATCGCAATCAAATCAAGACAAAGAAAGAAAAAAATAAATGAAGAAACCAATGCAGCAAAAACAAATGACGTCCGTTGGTCCGTCTGTTGGTACGTCCGTCAACATTGGCCGCACAAATTAAAACTGCTATTCAGATTGAGTCATATCCACAGTCATTTTATGCATGTCCATAATGCCTATTTTTGACCTATCATCGCCATTTCCCAAGTTCGCCCGGTTTCCGAGAAATTGTTGATTTTGACGTCAAAAGGTCAAATTTTCTGTAAATACTAGACACTTTGTTGAAGTAGAACTTTCAAATAACTTGTAGTACTTGCTGTATATGCAACTTATGTCCTCTGAAGATTTCAAAGCTCTTGGAATTACAGTTTTTGGTGTTTACTCTATAAAATTTGACAAAAAGTAGGACTTATTCATTTTTAGGAAACTTTCTTATGTATAAAGTCAATGGCAGGTTTTGTGATTGTCAGGTTTCTCAAAGTTTGCCTTATACTTGATCATTTCTTGCAATGAATCACATCATAACTAGATTTAAGCATTCCCTACATATTGCTCAATATATGTCAGCATCAAATGTTTACCGTTTTTGAGATATTTGACGTAAAAAAACAGTAAAAATAAGTTATTTTTCAACTTGCTTCAATTTGACCTTTTTTTTGAAAATCGTCTACAAGTTACCAGGAGTTCAAATCTGACATTAGTTTTAGGATTTGACCTTTACTTGACCTTCAGTGACCTTTGAAAGGTCAAAAAAGTTGATTTTTCAAATTGATTTTTGGATGTAAATTTTGGTCAGCTTAATCACAAAAGACCTTACTGACCTCTAAATAAGTAAAATTTTCAAGGTCATCAAACTAGGTCACACAACTGTGCTGTCTAAGTTTCTCAAAGTTCGAGACTACAAATCCGAATCAATATTTTTGTTTGAAAGTCAGGATATACATTCCTCTGAAGGTTCCTAACTGTGTGAGCACAGGACCGTGGGTCCTATTTTAAATATTATTATGGTTTATTGAGCTTTGTTTTTTTGTTTCTTGTTGCCCTTGTGTTTTTTGAGATATACTTTTTTGGCTGAGTTATAGTTTGACATAAAATAACAATGTTGATGATCTTGTTGTTCAAGTATAACTGTGTCATCAAGTGTTTATTTGGCTCATGTTTACATTTTTCAATATCACACTTTGGAGCATTTAAGTAAAATAATAAAACCATCGACATTGCTATTTCTGGCACAAATAAACAACTCAGCTTATTTTCAATTTACTAATAATAAATTATCGGGTGTCAACTATTTTTAAAAATTTCTAATTGTCATCAGTTTTATGTCAAGAAACCATGTTATTAACAAAGAAAGAGCATTGCATGTGATTTCAGTTATTTGTAAACATCAAGAGTTCTTAGTTATTAATCATGCATGAAATGAAGCACTCATCAACCCCATCCATATTGTTACCATAACGGTTGTTATGGACTGGGACACTACCCTGAGAGGGAGTTATTAGTGGTCAATTATGTGACTTGAGTTTTAATTTAGAAATACAGTAACACATGTTTATATTGAACATTTTTTGTCCAGAAAAATGTTCATTGTTTGTAGGTGTTCACCACAGCAAGGGTAATTTAAACAGAAGTCAGTAGAGTATGTGCGGAGGGGAAGGGTCTCTACTAGAGACAGTTGTTCACTTGAGAGAGGTGTTCACTAAGACATGTTTTACTGTAAAGTTAATATTCAAACCTTAATAATCATCAGGGTGTGTGACACAACATAACACATGTTATTGAAAGTACAACTAATCCGAAATATTGATATGATTTGAGAGGTTTGATGATATGTAAATATTAAATGACATGTACATTTCTGATAAATTAAAAAACTACTCCATTTAAATATACCTTTAGGCAATATTAATCAATAGTCTCTGATTATAGAATATTACTGAATTGTGAGTTACATTACCATTTGATTATCAGACATTTTGCTTCCCTTATATCAGCTCTCATACCATATAACCTGCAAAGAATTGGGTAGAAATATGGAGGGAAGAGAGAAACTGGTTGGGAGGGGGCATCAAGCTTTTAAGGATGGGGCAGTGCCTTGAAAGAGATACAGAGGAAATCAGCTTGTTTTGGAAGCATTTAGACCTAAGCTATTCTATAAATCCTGCCATTTCTTATTTGTAAACCTTTAACAAGATTTTAATGGTAATTCTTAATCCTTCCTTGATTAAGTATTTATTTTATGGTTTTAACTAGAACAGTTCTTAAGTGGATCACTGTTTGTTTATTCTACGATAGCTAATATAGTGGATGTA